CTGTGTTTCCATATATGTTGATGTATTTATTCATTCATTTTTAATGTATGCATTCATATATTTGATTTCTTTTTATTAATTTCTATATTTCTGAACTCCTCTCTCTGACATAAACCTAGGCCTCCTGCTGCCGTTAGGGGTCGCCAGCGTGCGCACTGACGGGGCGCAACTGCCACGGTCTGTCTCTTTAAGACATGGAGCAGACTTGCTGATCCAAAAATAAACCACGCACCATGTTGTCTGTGCTCACTCTGAAAACCTCTGAACAGGTCCTCAGTGTCCGGTGCGTTGACTCGAGCTACAGTCACAATGGCAGACGCTCTGGGTAAAGTCCCCGAGGTGGAGATCGATCCAGAAGGGACCTTTAAGTACATACTGGTCAGAGTGAAGGTGAAAGGTGGCGATGTGCACAAAGACATAGTCCGAGGCACAAAAAGTGCAGAGTATCACAGTAAGTTCGTCACTGTAGTTTGCAGCAGAGGAGCCTCAAGTGCGTCATGCAAAGAGAGACATGCGCACTTTTGCAGCAGCATTGGTTGAAATTCCCATTTGCGATGTGTCTTTTGGTGCAGCCTGTAAATATGTGCACTGTGCATAAATACACAGACCAGGCACCTTAATATCTGCATTACGAAAAGGCGATAATGCCCATGAATTAAAATGCTACAGTTGTACATATTATACGACTTGCAGATTGGACCGTGCTGCAACTAAATCAGATTGTGTATCTTGACTTGAATTATTGACAGATCACATATTTGAGAAGGTCAACCCAGCTATGGAGGCCCTGGGGTTGGAGTGCAAATGCCTCGGAGGAGGGAAGATAGAGCACAACAGCCAAGAGAAGAAACTCAGGGTGTTTGGAGAATCTACTGTAAGTTCAAGTCATTGGATAAAAGCATTAAAAGCTGAATTAGATGCCAAATACTCAGCAATATTTCTGATGTGATAACATCTGTGCTCTCTGACTCAATTCTAGGCATTTGGCAAAGCCGACCATTCTGTGTCTGCAGAGAAGTTGAAGAGTACCTTCAGCAACTATGAGATCACCTGGTCTGATGACAAAAAATAGTATAATGTCTGCCTTTATTTTTCAGTTGCAAAATTAAAAAGCACACAGTAATGTTTTGAGCCCTCTGTCCAAACATCATTTGATTCAGCTACACTGTAATTGTTTGCTTCGGAAAGCTACTGAATCATGACTGGATTTCTTCAAAGGAAACTCAATATTTTGTATTTAAATTCCCCTGAAACATGACTTTGGAAAAAAAAAACTCCCTTGACAACACAATGATTGATTTTAGTTTGTGTTTCGTTGGCCCTAATCAAAATTGCAAGCTTTGAGTCAGGCGTAAAGTCCACACAGGAAGGGGTGAATGGGATAGACTAAATAGCATCCTGTTATAGGGAAAGTTTCTGTTTTCAGAAAATAGGACACAGATAAGAAACACTTTCACTTGCCACCATGGTTTTGTGCTTTCATTAGTAAGTAATGATAAACTTCGAGACAATATAACAATAATAAATAAAAGCCTGGCATTTAAAAGTCAAAGAATAAAGATTACAAAGAGAAATCAGCTTTATTTATACAGCACTTCCTAACAATGAAAAAAGAAAAGAACAATCAGAGCTTGCGGGTAAAAGTAGATCAAGACTAACATGAGGAGGAATAATGTTTAGTCAGAGTAAATCAAAGATTGTGTCAAAACTTTCTAAAAGCTTACAAATAGAAAATGTTTAATTCATACTAATGAGTACATGTGTACTCCAAATTCCATGAAAGTTATTGTAGTATAGTGTTATATAGTAATTGATGATACATTTCTGCTAAAACCACAGCCTTGAATCTCATTTAGGTGCTAAAGGAAAGGTCTGGGGTCAAATCAGTCGTGACAACCATGAATGTTTGAATAAATCACATTGACATGTTTCTGGGGAGAACGGTCTGACTGCACTTTGTATGAATGTATAGCAAAGAAAACATTAATGACATTTTTTTAGCATCCACGCTATTTTAAGTGTGGATGGTTAGAAAATAAGAGTCTACATCCTTTTCCTCTGGATTTCCCACATTCTCACACCTTAAAGGAAACAAGTATTCCAGCCATGGATCACATACTTACTCTTACTTTCCTTTTTACCTTATGACTCGCCTTCCCGGTGAGATAAAGAGAAAACATTTCACGGAAGAGTGGCGCTCCATGAACATAATTAGATACTGTCGACACTCTGGGGATACCTGAACTCATCAGCAGACCTAATCTAGACGCCGATGTGACTGCAATTTGCCAGTTACCCTGTGACCTTTAAAAATGAAAGGAAGCCAAAAAGTGATCTTCCTTCCTTTTTCAGCTCCAAAATCTGAGCCAGTTTCCTGTTAACTGAAATCCTTTGTATTGTATACTAACAGGGAAGTCGGCACAGGGGGGAGAAGACAAAGGCATTACACTCAACCCATTTCTTGGAAAACACGTGTTATTATTGGGGTTTACTTTATTACTGGGGAGGCAGTAGCTCAGTCCATAGAGAGGTGCCAGTTGGAGAGGTGCCAGTTCACCTCCTGTGCCCTTGAGCAAGGCACCGAACCCCCCAATTGCTCCCCGGACGCCTTCATGGCTGCCGACTGTTCCATGTGGTCACTGTATGTATTGTGTTCCGTGTGTGCTGTGTTCACACGGATGGGTTAAATTTCCCCATGTGTGCATGATTGTGGGACAATAAAAAGGAATCTTAAAGGCATTTTTTAAATAAGAAGCATAAGACTTATCTATTGATCAAATATCTCAATGAGGCCTTATAATCTTTACAGTCCTACAGAAGATACACCCCTCAATAACACTTTCTCTCATTTGTTTCATATGTGTCCTATGGCATGAATAACACTAGTTTTTTTCATGCTCAAAATGTACCCATTTAAAATGTATATGTATAAAATATATACAAAAATATAATTTGACAAGTTCTTCTATACTGTAAGCAGTGCTGCAATATACTATGTTTGAAGAGAGATAAGCAACAAGCAAAATCTTGTTCCCTAAACAAGAAATAAATAAATCAACTAAAACAAGAACAGCTGGAGGTAAAATAAAGTGAGATTAGAAACTTAAATTCTCTAAGGATAAAATGTGTTGAATTTAAGATTATTGTGGGTGTTATTCCATGTTACACGTGCATGATGAAAGAAACTCAGCTGAGGTCAATAAAAACAAGTGGCACTGCAGTGTAATCCAGTGTTTCTTAACAATATTGAAGTTTTAATATCATTGTAACTGAGCCTCAGCTGTTGTAATTGATTCATTTATGATTTCATAGGGGGACTGCTGGGTCCTGGTGGAGATATGTACTCTGTGAGGACCCTTTTAGTTTGTCTTTGTGATTTGTTGTTGTGGTTAATCATTTGTCTGTGTGTTTTCTTATATTGATCTTGTGTTTTGTTGTTGTGGTTAATCATTTGTCTTTGTGTTTCCTTACATTACTCTAGTGTTTTGTGTTTTGTTGTTGTGGTTAATCATTTGTCTTTGTGTTTCCTTACATCACTCTAGTGTTCTGGGATTCATCGTTGGGTTTTCTTTCTTGATACTGTGTTTTCAGATTTGCACCTCAGGGCCACCGTAGCTGAGAACTTTGGATACGACGTCACATCCGACTCAAACTTCAGCGCGCGGTTTGTTTATTTCTGCAGTTTAGTCGATTACAAAACAACAATGGCGACGTTTAAGACAAAATAACTCACATGAACTGAAGATACGGTCTTACGTGTATGGTAAGAACTAACATATTTAATATATAATCCCATTATCAACACGCCAGCGTTAAGTGTTTTAGCGAATCATACGCAACAAACTCAAGCTAACGTCAGGCTCCTTGCTAACAGCGGCAGGTTATTATCATGAGCTGCTGAAATGTCGTGTTTATCTTCGTGTGACTGACTTGTTGTTTAACCTTCTGTGTTGAGGACAGCGCTCCTGAGCTGTCATCATGTCCCAGACCAACACGTCTCTCCTGGACGAGGTGGTGCAGTGGAGTCAGGAAACATGCCGCCAGGAGCTCAAGGCTGTTCTGCCCAAACTCAACATATCCTGTTCAAAACTACATTTATCTGCATCATCACCTTTTAAAGATCCATTCAGATGCCGTCTGTATGGGGACTCCAGTGATTTCTACATCCTGTAAAGTTTTAAAATTTGGTAAAGCATGAACAAAATCATTTGGGATTAGGGGTCCGGTTAAAATACGTCACATCAACAGAACTAAAGACCTACACTTAATACAAAACTCTTCAGTTTGTTAAGTTTTTTTCCTGTTGAAACTTTTCCTCACTTTCACATGTCTTCTCTTTTTCTACTACATTTACAATCCTGACATTTGAAGGGTAAATCATTTGCAGTAATGCCTTAGTGTTCCTTGACTGTTTCCACTCCCTGCAGCTCAAATCTGAGAGCTGGGATGATCACATACGTAAGTTTCTTCACTGTAAGATTAGTAATTACAAAACCCCTTATTTTGTGCCGTTTGTGATATTTGTGATTAACTTAGAAATGTGTTAATAACATCTCATTCCCTTCAGGTATTCTGAAGATAATCACAGACATGTTCCTTCCACATATGGGTTTGTCGGAGCTGGAGGACGAGTGCTTCTCTAAGATTCTACCTCAGGTAAACAGCCTGTTACCTTCAGGATCTAGGTTTATAATACCTTAACTAGTGTTTGTGAAATCGGTGACTGCACCTCCTGTGAAGAGTCCCTAGTTTAAATTATACTCTGGGCCAAAATATCAATCTGTTTTATATAATATATATCTGTCTGTCTGTCCTTTATATGAAATATCTGCAGGCTGTGGCAGTGTTTGACAGCATGATGAAAGAAATCTCAGACCAAGTTGGAGAGCTGTCCAGTCAAAACACTGAACTGTGTGCCTTACTAAGGAGAATTCTTCAGGTACTATTATTATAGCTATTATCATGATCGCTGATTTCTTTGTTCATCAATTAGTACCTCGAAGGTTTAAGCTGTGTACGATGTACAGTACATTATCTACAAAAGGTTGCTCTCACCTCACTCCTAAGCAATATTTTTGACAAGATCCTGTTTGTCTGCTTCAGGCAATGATGCAGTTAATTGATGCACTATCCACGTGCGTGCGTCATGTTGGCTCATTCGAGGAGGCTCCTGACCTGGAATCTATCCGTTCCTTACCTACTTGTATCCTGAAGATCCTGAGGGAAACCTTTCAACACTGCAAGGTCGGTTTGTTCAGTTCTACTGTGGCTGTAATGAGAACATTACAAATCTTGGCAGATCATCATTGCAAACCGGTATCACGTATTTTAAAATACACTGTGTTGTAGCTACTATAATTATGGCAGAAAGTTTTGTCTGGTATCAAAAGATAATTATATCATAATCTATATGATATCTAGTAAGTAATGACTGATTTCAATATTTGTTAATTTATGACACAAACCTGTAAATGTATTTCTTGGTGTTCACAGGAGAGTGAGGTGGTTTACTGTGGCCGTCTGTCCCTGGTGGCTGACCTGCTGCAGGGACTCTTCAAGGAGGCTTACTCCCTTCAGAAGGGTCTGTTGGAGCTGTTGGACAGGGTCTCTCTCGACAGCAGTGCCTCAGAGGAGGAGATCTCTGACATCGTTAAAGGTGTGTCTTTGTGCATATACACTAAATGTATGTGTGTTTCACTGCCACACTTATTATTCAGCCTCTCCGTTATTGTACTTGTATATCTTGAATGCAGCCTTAAGTTCGCTGAACATTTGTGTCATCTTCCTCAGTGATTCACAACCTGCTGGATATCTGCTCTATTATCGCCAACCTGGACGTTGCTCTGCATGCAAACACATGGAAATTCCTCATCAAGTCAGTAGAGTAGATGCACATGTTTACCCCCATGTTTTTTCTTTATGTAATATCATCTGTCATATTAGATTGATCAGAGTTTAGGTTCGTTCTTTTTTTCCTTTTTTAAATGGTCATTACTTTGATCAGACAGAGTCTGAAGTACCGGTCATTGGTGGAGGAACATCTGCATCATGGTGACATCAGCACCACTCTGTGTGACAACTTGTTGACCTCCTTCCACAACTCTGTGGAGTTGGCTGAACAGATACAACATGCTGGTCTACAGGTATGAAAGAAATAAACACATAATGTGAATTTACACTTTTGTAGCAGCTTTTATACAGATCTCTTCCTTGCTTTTCTTGTAATAAATGTAAATGTGGTTTTCCCAGGTACAATAAAATATATATTTGTCTTTACTGAACTAATATGATTGTGACAGTGGGGTATGTTTCTGTCCCATTTAGTATTTTCAGTATCCTATGTTTAGAAATAATGATGTATATTTCCCGTGTTGTGCATGTGTACTTAATCTTTGTCACCTTTTGTCTTAGGAAGCAACACAAAGCCCTGAATACAAGTTGTTCCAGAAATCTGCAAAGATGTGCAGATTTTTTGCGAACACATTGGTTCATTACATAAAGGTATTAATCTTTTGCAGCTTTCTTGGCTCAAT